AAATTGTATTTGGAGTAGTTTTCATTTAGTGGTCTTTGAATTTGTTTTTTTTTTTTCTTTTTTCGTGTTTGTGTATTTGGCTGCTATTTGTGTATTGTTGCATTAAATGATTTATTTTAACCATTTTTGTCTATTTTTTTTAACTTTCAGTGACAATAATGTGAATGAAGAAGCTAATGAGGAGGCATTTTTTGACAAAAGAACAGGTCTAGGATAGTTTAAAAGACCTCTGTAATGATCATGAGCTATTTAAAACCAGTTGCACATTGGGAGGCATGTTGCACATTCTCTGGCCATGTGATAAATTGAACACATTCTGACCAGAGGTACGCCGCATTACACAGAAATTTACAGACCATGAACTGCTCTTGGACCCTGCCTTCTTTCTATTGCACCATTATGACTTTCCTAGCACTGTAGCTCAGTCTTGCCACATCTAATCAATGCAGCATGAAGCTGTATCTCAGATGCTTGGAAACAACGGAGGTTGAGCTCCATTGCTATGTGGCCGGCAAAAATGAATGATATATGTGAGATGTAGGATCAGACAGTGACTGAAAGGAGCACATGTGACAAAATGCAATCTAAATGGTTTTACTGGCATGAGTTCCTTTACACTTCTGAAAATCAGGAGTCAATGGAGATTTGCTAACTCCATATATTTTTTGATTGTAAAGGGTGACATACCTGATGAGATTGGACCTCCTTTCCTCCCCTTCCCTTGCTTTTAGCTTGTTGCAACCAACCTTATTCTATCCTTTCCCCTTTCTACCCCCCCCCCCCCCCTCCCATTTGTTTTCAGACACAGGTCATTCCATTGTAGCTGTGGGACTACTGGAGTATCCATAGTTTTAGGTGAATCATTCGTGTACTGCTGTTCAAATATTTAATATTTACTCATTATGGTTGTTTGGATTTCAGACATCAATTTTTCAGACATCAATCTTTCAGTGATTCCTACTGGCAAAAGATTGCTTTGTACGTTGAATATTGGTAGCTTTGCATACCATTTTATTAATAAATAGAGAATTAAAAAAAAACCAATATATCACACTCTTAAGACTATAAAGGAGCTTATAACCCAGGTGATTATTAATGCAATGCAACCAGGCAGTATAATCAGTAATATCAGTAATACATATAGGGATTTTTTTTGTATAGAGTCAGACCACAGCTCTCTCACATAAAACAGAAGTCCAGCTCTCTTGTAGTCTGAAAGCCTTCTTCCCCCCGGAAAATCCACTGCTCTAATTTACAGCAGTGCTCAGGGAGCGAGAGTGATATTGATTACAGCAGTGTTTGGGGTGAGTGGTTTCCCCATTGACTCCAATGTGTTTCCCAATATCTCCTTCACGCTGGCCTCTCTGCATGTGGGCTTGAACACAGGATATATACATACTAGAATGTTAACAGAACTGTGCCGAGCGCATGTGCCCTGTGCGGTCCTGGAACAGTTACTGGCAGCTAACAGAAAGCTCCCGATCTCTACTTGCAATCCTGAACTTTCTGATCATACGGCCACTGTGACAGCGAATCACAGCGGTCATGATCAGAAACCCCGCCCCATCTCTGAAACCCCTGAAACGGCTGGGAAGCACTGGCGCCAAGGGGTTAAGGAGAGATTTTCATATTTTTCCCAAAATTTGGGGAAACTGCTGTTATTCCTTACTACCCCAGTCATCATTACAAATTTATATGAGTAATTTCCAATTACATGGATTGAATAAATAACAATTTCCCTGCCTAATACCTTTTGTATGGCCTTCTGGACACCCAGGAAAATACTGCAGGGAAATACTTTCACAGTTTCACAGAGGATATAAGAAGGAAAATGATGTCTTGGCACATGGACGACCTCACAGAAGAGAAATATATCAGTTTGGTGGATTTTGTTTTCCTCTGTTTTTTATCTTTGTAGCACATTCTTAATTCCATACAAAAACTGTGTCCCTGTTCTATGTAGTATCATTTTTACTGATGCCTGCACTTCCTAATTATAATGCCAAAATTATTTAGTATTTAAGAATGATGTGGGGAGTTTTCGAAGATTCCCATACTGTTAGTCATTTACTACTTCAATTAGCCAATAGGAATACACGCAGTAATATGTATCCAGTGTAGCTGCAACAGTTTCTATTGCTTGATTGAATGTACTAGTAACACACACAGCCGATAGCTAAAACCTAGAAGATCAGTAAAAGAAAGTGCAAAAACCTGGTAGATCAGCAGATGTCTGAAGCCTGTAATTTTACTTGTCATTTTATTAGTTTTTCATAATACCTTGAGTAAAATTGGCAGTTAATCATCTTTATACACAAATTAATGAACTGTACTGCTAAGGTATCAAAATGTACCAAAACAATTAATCAATGGCACTTTGAAAAGAGCTTTTGTTTAAAGTTGGGTTGTCATCAGGTGCTAACAGATGAATTTTTTTTTATGAAGGACCCCAGGCACACACGTAATGATGCTCTTTTGCATAAACTCTATCACTATTTTTCAGCCCTAATTTGAACGTGAATGCAACCATTATCAGACAAACAAATCCAGAATCACTGCTACAAGCAGCATACTATATATAATAGAATTAGAATATATAGAATTATAACTAAGCTGTATAGACCGTCAATCAAGAGATTCCTTAGAAAGGTGAGATAGCAAACATGTTATGTAAGCTGCAGAGGTATTGAGTCTACTGTGCAATCCCTACAACTTTCTAACCATTCATTTCTATTGACGTGAAAATAAACCACAGATTGGGGGCAGCACAATGGCCAAGAGGTTAGCTTTTTTACCGAGCAGTACTAGGTTCCTTGGCTCAGATCCCAATCACGGCGCCACCTGCACAGAGTTTGTATGCTTTTCCTGTGACTGAGTGAGCTTCCTCCGGGTACTCTCTTTCTCCGGGTGCTTTCTTCCCACACTCAAAAGACATGCTGGTAGGTTAAGTGGCTCCCATCAAAATTGGCCCTAGTATGTGTATGTATGAATGGGAGTTAGGGACCTTAGATTGTAAGCTCCTTGAGGGCAGGGAGAGATATGAATGTATAATATATATGTAAAACACTGCGTAAATTAATGGCTCTATATAAGTACTGGTATAAGTCCAGAAATTAGAAATGTAGTTTGGCACTGTAAGAAGACAGAGGTCTTATGGCTAATTAGACCCTATATTTTCAATTTTATTTAAAGAGTATGTATAGCCAAAAGTTTATTTTTAGTTTTGGACACAGTAGGTAAGGGTTAAAAGTCTGTCATAATTGTTTTTTTTTTTGTCTTTCTGTTTGTTTACCATTGGGGAAACTACCCTTCACAGGGAATCCAGAGACAAAATGAAGTTTTGAAGTTATAAGAAATCTTACATATTGAGGGGATTTCCCATCTTAGACAGTTGTCCCTGGAACAGCTGTCCCCATTGGACGATTTCCCCTTACCTCGGGACATTGCTAACATTTTGCCTCTTCCTTCATTCTTTTTTGGTGATTATGGTCACGAGTAGAAATAGAGGAGAACATTTCCCCAATGGGGATACAGACGGAAGAAAAAGCAACTTGTCCCCACTTGATCCAAAACTTTAAAAAAAAAGGTTTGCCTAGGGATACATTTTAAAATGCATGGGACATGGTAGTTAAAAGTGCAACATGTATGCCATTTCCAACATACCTAAAACACAATGTTGTGCCACTTTTGGGATTTAGGAATGACTTGAACTTTGCCTTTGCTGGAAAATGCAACAAAATATACAAATGCTTTAAACACAGAGAGTCCCTGCACAAAGCTAAATTGTGTTATAATAATGTGCACCACTAGATGGCAGTCATGTGCCACACTTTCTTTCCTAAGAGATTTTTATTTTTTCAGTGTGAGATTTCACAGTAGGGTGATGATATAGAATGCACAGCCTATACCCCAAACACTTAGATTCAAGGGCAAACTTTATAACATGTATAGTTTTCAGAATGACTTAGTTCAGTGTGCACATTTATAGTTTAGCAGATTATTCAATCTACTCGGCAATATGGCAGAGCCATTCTCTACAACATATTGAGTTTGTATTAGAACAGCTCCACACTTGTAATGCCATCAAAGTCACACTTTAGGTCATCTTGTTAACCACGTATATAATAATAGGAGACCTTAAAAAAGTAATTTATTTTTCAAAATAGTAAAAGAAAAAACAATACATGTTGCTGAAAAAATTCTAAGACTGAACTGGTATATCAACAGCAGTCTAATGCAGGCCTTTTGTAATTATTGTAAATATCCAGTTTACATGTAATATATATATATATATATATATATATATATATATGGAATCTGTTTTAGTTTACAATAAGGTATAAGGAAGCTTCACTGTTTGTGCCTTTATTTTGTCTACCTGTAATCTTTGCCTGTAGCCTTCACTGCCTATATAACCCCATCCCTGATCTGTTTGTGTTCTTTACCTATAGCTTTGATCTGTCTTTTGTGAGGCTTGACCTGTGGTTTTGGTAGCCTGTCTGCCCTACAGCCCCACATTATATGCTTGTAGTTGTTTACTGCCTGTGTGTGGCTCTGGCATTTTTTATCTGTAGCCCTGACCTATGTCTGTTTGCCTTCCTGCAGTGCTTACTTGTTTGCTTTTAGCTTTGGCCTTTACTACTAGTAGACCTGACCTAGTCCTGTTTCCTTTAACCTCCCTAGCGGTCTGATTATGTCCATATTTCTGTGCTCAGAGCGGTACATTTTTTTTGCATGGAAATATGTATTTTTTGTTATTGTAGACCTGTAATTTTTAGGAATAACTCACTGAAATCTGTCCGAACAAGAGTCTAGTAAACATCCCGGGTAGGATAAAACTTGAAACACGAAATCATAAATTATAATTTAATAAATAATCATTAAAAATAATAATATAATATTAATACATTTAATTCAATAATATAATCAAACCAAAAACACTGAGATTTGAAATATAACTCCAAGTTTGCACATCACTGAGCAAAGTCGCAAAATCGTTTTCAGTGTCTGATGACGAATTTCCCCACGAATCATTATCACTCAATTCTGAAAGTAGTTCTAATTTACTATCGCTGTTCTCTAGCCGGTCTAAAAAACAAAATGTATGTGCGCTTTTGACCTAAAGGGATGCTTTTTGAACACCATGGACGTTTCTCAGTTTCCAGGCAGAAAGAACGGTAAAAATGCAGGCAGGGCACAGGACAAAGCACTAGGGACAAAATGTATGTGAAATGGTTTGGTACAGTAATGTTTTACTATGAGATTTTAGTGATTTTAGTGAATGTCACTTTTTGTCATTTTCAAATTTCTCGCCGTTCCGTCCCCGTACGTCCCAACGCTCGCAGGGGATAGAACCTAGATTGCAGATGCGGCATCAGCCGGATTTTACATTGCCGGGGACACTGCAGGAGGGACATCGCGGGAGCGCAGGACAAGGTAAGTGATCGAGGGATCCCGGAGCAGCGCCGCATGGTAAGCCCGAGTGTAGCTCAGGGTTACTGCTTGTGGTACTGAAACATTACCCCGAGCTACACTTGGGAATACCGCCAAGGAGGTTAACTACTTCAAATCCAGGCATTTTCACAATTACTCAGTCACACAACACACTGTACACACATATATATATATATAATATATATAAATATATAAAAAGGCTATATATATATATATATATACACCCCATGAAATTTGTAGCATTTTTTTTAGACAGAGCTTTGTTTTGGTGGTATTTAATCACCATTGTTTTTTTTCACTATATAAATGAGAACTTTCTGCAAATTTTAAAAAGAAAAAAACATTTTTTGCTTAGTTCTTGTTATAAAGTTTTGCAAATAATCTTTCTTCCTAAATTTAGGCCGAAATGTATTCTGCTACATTTTTTGGGTAAAATAATCCCAGTGTATATTATTTAGTTTGTGTGAAAGTAATAGAGTCTACAAACTATGGGATATATACTATATTGCCAAAGGTATTGGGACACCCTCCAAATCATTGGATTGAGGTGTTCCAATCACCTCCATGGCCACAGGTGTAAAAAATCAAGCACCTACGCATGCAAACTGCTTCTACAAACATTTGTGAAAGAATGGGTCGCTCTCTCGGGTGCTCAGTGAATTCAGGCGTGGTTCCGTGATAGGTTGTCGTCTAAGCAGTAAGTCCATCCATGAAATTGCCTTGCTACTAAACATTCCACGGTCAACTGTTAGTGGTATTATATAAAAGTGGAAGCAACTGGGAACAACAGGAACTCAGCCATCAAGTGGTAGGCCACGTAAAATGACAGAGCGGGGTCAGCGCATGCTGAATCGAACAGTGTGCAGAAATTGCCAACTGTCTGGAGAGTCAATAGCTAAAGACCTCCAAACTTTATGTGGCCTTCACATTAGCACAACAGTGCATAGAGAGCTTCATGGAATGGGTTTACAAGCTTTACATCACCTGGTGCAATGCAAAGCATCGGATGCAGTGGTGTAAAGCACGCCGCCACTGGACTGTAGAGCAGTGGAGACGTGTTTTCTGGAGGGACAAATCATGCTTATCTGGCAATTTGAGGGACGTGCCTGGGCTTGGGGGTTGCTATGAGAACGGTACTTACCTGACTGCATTGTGCTAAGTGTAAAGTTTGGTGCAGTGGGATTATGGTGTGGGGTTGTTTTTCAGGGGTTGGGGTTGGGGTTGGGCTTGGCCCCTTAGTTCCAATGAAGAAAACTCTTAAGGTGTCAGCATACCAAGACATTTTGGACAATTTCATGCTCCCAACTCTGTGGGAAAAGTTTGGGGATGGCCCCCTTCCTGTTCCAACATGACTGTGCACCAGTGCACAAAGCAAGATCCATAAAGACATGGATGAGCGAGTTTGGGCGGGAGGAACTTGACTGGACTGCACAGATTCCTGACCTCAACACAAAAGAACTTCTTTGGGATGAATCAGAGCCTAGACTGAGAGCTAGGCCTTCTTGTCCAACATTAGTACCTGACCTCACAAATGCACTTCTAGAAGAATGGTCAAACATGCCCATAGACACACTCCTAAACCCTGTGGACAGCCTTCCCAGAAGAGTTGAAGCTGTTATAGCTGCAAAGGGTGGGCCAACACAATATTGAACCCTACGGATTAAGACTGGGATGCCATTAAAGTTCATGTGTGTGTAAAGGCAGGCGTCCCAATACTTTTGGCAATATAGTGTATATTAGAAAATTGGTCAGTTGGAACCCTAAAATGCAGGATGCTGGTATGGGGCATGGCGGTGACCAGGACATTGGTATGGTTTATGGTGGTGTTTATGTGAGCAATAGGACAGGTGCTGGCTGCATTCTTTATTCGGACTACACTGGGCAGTAATCAGGGACACTGGGGTGGCTGTAATACCATGTGATCACCTGGACACAGCAATAATGTGATCCACTGTGTCCAAGTGACACTAGGATCGTTGGGCTCCTGGATGTATGCTCGGTGATGTGGACTGACATACAGGTACATTTGCCCGCATGGGCAATGCTTCCCATCTGCTGTTTATAGGCAATGGGCAGTTAGCCGTTAACTAGTCTGTCTGCAGTCTAATTACAGAGCATGAACCTCCATCAAAATGGTCTTCTCCCCATCTATACACACAGGTGTATAAAAAACGTGTATGTTAGATCTTTCTTCAGCAGGCAGAAATATACAGTTTAAAAAAAATCAAATTTTGAAGCTTAATTATTATTATTATACAATATTTATATAGCGCCAAAGGGTTTTCTCAGCGCTGTACATTAAAGTGGGGGACAGTACATGAGACAATACAGTAACAATACAATACACAAGGGGTTCGAGGGACCTGCTTTCTTGAGCTTACAATCTAGGAAGGAGGGGGTAGAGGTACAGGAGGAAGTGGCTGTGGGGGATGGAGTGGTAGGAGGAGTGGAGGAGAACGGCTGTTAGGTGAGGGTGGGGTAGGCTTCCCTTAAGAGACGGGTTTTCAGGTGCGCCTGAAGGTGAGGAGGGTAGGTGACAGTCTCATGGATTGGGGTAGGGAGTTCCAGAGGATGGGGGAAGTCCTGCAGTCGGGAGTGGGAGGAGGAGACCAGGGAGATAGAGAGTAGGAGGTCTTGTGAGGAGCGAAGGGCAGGGGTAGGGTGGTATTTGGGTATCAGGTCAGTGAGGTAGTTGGGGGCAGCGTTATGAATGGCTTTGTATGTCAGAGTTAGTAATTTGAATTTAATGCGTTGGGCAATCGGGAGCCAGAGAAGGTATTGGCAGAGGGGGGTGGCCGAAGTGGAGCGGTTGGTGAGGTGGATGAGTCTAGCCACTGAGTTCAGGATAGACTGGAGCGGGGGATAGCGTTTGTCGGGGTAGGCCGGTGAGAAGGGAGTTGTAGTAGTCTAGGCGTGAGATAATAAGGGAGTGTACAAGTTGTTTAGTGGTGTCTGGGGTGAGGAACATACGTATCTTGGAGATGTTGAGGAGGTGGAGCCTGCATGAATTTTATAGTGATTAGACATGAGATTGGAAGGAAAGGTTTGAGTCCAGGGTGACACCTAGGACTTTGGCGTGTGGAGTGGGATTGATGGTGGCGTTGTTAGTCGTGATGGAGAGGATGGGGGGGGGGGGCGCGGGCTGGGGGGAAAACTAGGAGCTCGGTTTTGGACAGGTTTAACTTGAGGAAATGGAGTGACATCCAGTCTGATATGTCCTTTAGGAGGTGGGTGATGTGGGCGGAGAGTGAGGGGTGAGGTGGGGGGTGGAGAGGTAAATTTGTGTGTCATTGGCATAGAGGTGATAGTTGAAGCCGTGGGAGTGTATTAGTTTGCCAAGGGAGGAGGTGTAGATGGAGAAGAGAAGGGGCCCAGGACAGTGCCTTGGGGGACCCCAACAGAGAGGGGGAGAGAGGGGGAATGGGTGGCAGCATTATAGGTAACGCTGAAGGAGCATTGGGATAGGTAAGAGGAGAACCAGGAGAGAGCAGAGTCCCTGATGCCAAGGGAGTGTAGTTTAGTAAGGAGGAGGGGGTGGTTGACTGTGTCGAAGGCTGCGGAGAGGTCGAGGAGTAGAACGACTGAGTAGTGACCATTAGCGGTTAGCAGGTCGTTAGTGATTTTAAGTAAATTTCGGTGGAGTGTAGGGGACGGAAGACAGACTGTAGTGGATCAAGGAGGTTGTTGTCAGTGACGTGGGTGCTTAGGTGATTGTAGACTAAGCGCTCAAGGAGCTTGGAAGTTAGTGGCAGCAGGGGAGATGGGTCTAAGGTTGTTTAGATCAGTGGGGTCCAGGGAGGGTTTTTTGAGTATAGGGGTGATATGCGCGTGCTTTAGGGGGGAGGGGAATGTGCCAGCAGAGAGGGAGAGGTTGAAGATGTGGGTGAGGGAGTGAATGATGGAGAAGGGGGGTGACCGGAGGAGTTGTGAGGGGATAGGGTCCAGGGGGCAAGTGGTGAGGCGGGCTTCAGTGAAGACCTTAGTGACCTCCTCAGTGGTAGCAGGGCTGAAGGAGCGGAGTGTTGGGGAGGTTATAGTGTGCGGGACGTTAGGTGTGGTGGGGGGCAGTGCAGTTGAGAGGTCAGAGGAGGGGAGAGTTGAGGGAGTGATGGAGGGAGGGAGGCTAGGTGGAGAGGTAAATTGTGAATTGCTAATGTCCTCACGGATTGCGTCAATCTTGTTTTGGAAATGATTGGCAATCTCGTGGGTGGTGAGTGAGGTACTGAGTGGAGGTGGGGGGAGAGAGCAAGGAGTTGAAAGTGGAGAAGAGCTGGCGAGGACAGGTGGAGAGGGTATTAATGAGGGTTACGAAGTAGGCTTGCTTGACGGCGTGGAGGGAGGAGGTGTAGGTGAGGAAGGCGGATTTGTAGAGGGAGAACGCACGAGGGGATCTGGTTTTGCGCCATAATCGCTCCAGTGCTCGACTGCGTCATTTGAGACATTTTGTATGGTCATTTTGCCAGGGTTGAAGTGGTCGAGGTCTGATGTTACATGTGGTTAAGGGTGCCAGGGAGTCTAGGGCAGCTGACAGTGAGTCGTTGTACGCAGTAGTGGCCAGGTCGGGGCATGACAGTGGAAGGATACTGTCGTACAGACGGTCAGCTGTCGAGTGGAGAGGGGCCGGGTTCAGGTTGCGGAGGTTGCGGCTAGTGATGGTTTGACGCTTTGGGGGGGGGAGTTAGAGGAGGGGAAGACGGAGAACGTGAGGAGGTGGTGGTCAGAGAGAGGGAAGGGGGTGTTAGTAAAGTTGTGAAGGGTACAGAGATGGGAGAAAACGAGGTCCAGGGTGTTCCAATCGGTGTGGGTGGAGGACTGTGTGCACTGTTTGAGCGCGAAAGAGGTAGTTAGGAGGTTGGGAAGTAGGAGTTGGGAAGTAGCTCAGAGGAGAGGGGGGAGCCAGTTGACGTTGATGGGGATATTGAAGTCCCAAGGATGATGGTCGCAGTAGCTCAGAGGAGAGGA